CCGCGCTCTCTCCTTCATCATTCCCGGTGCGGTCATTGTGGACTTCTACTCGGACTCCGGTCTGGACAGGGATATGCTGGAGACTGAAATCGCTGCATATAGGCCCCCCAGCACTCTTATTCCCATCCTGCAGCTCAGGGACGAGATCCAAGAGCAAGCACGCCTCTGGGCCTCCCGCCGCCCATATGATGGCCTGGCTGTCTTCGTGCAACGGTACGTTGACATGGACTACGACCGGCAGGGCGCTCATGTCAGACTGGCGATACTGCAACCAGACTTGCTGACGGCCATTTCAATGGCGTCGGTTAGCAGAACCTGGTGCGCAGCAGTGCTCCCCCTGGTTCAGCACAAGCTCTTTGTAAGTCCCTACCGCACGGCCAGGGCAGCAATGTCTCTTGACCTACGCGTCATGGTCCAGTCCTTTGACACGCCCCAGTGGTACCTCGCGTCCGAAGAGCTCACCATCCACATTCAGCACAGCAAGCACGTCGTGGTGCAGAAGTTCCTGAACCCCTTCAACCAAGACGGGCAAGCAGCAACAATCAGCAGGGGCGAAGAGGTTCACAGTGCTCTCTCTGACCACTACTACAGTCTCCTTTGAGAACTTGTGAGCCACAGGAATGTCATCGACTCATGCTAGGAATATGGCACAGCCTCCGCTCAGGTGTGGCACAGCCACTCAACTAGTCACTGTTCGAGATATGTTGCCTACCTGCCCTGAGAAATTGCTCTTGCAGCATGCCTGAACCAAGCTACTGCTGCATTATCGCTTGCTCTATCCTGCAATCCGAGGCCCCAGCTACCACATGGCACCAGCAGTCCTTGCTCGCGTGCCCTCTGCTGTTGTTCTTTGTCTCCAGTCGTTCTGCGTCGCCCTGAGCTTCGTGCTTGGCCATATGACTCTGTAACGCTGTGCATGCATACCGCAGCTGTCAGTTCGAACTGCCGATACAGTAGGCAACAGCAGAAGCATAGCAGCTTTGCTCTTTAGACATGCCTTGCAGAAGCTAAGACTTCAGAACAAACTGAGACTCAGCGAAGAGCACAGCTCACCTCTTGGCCGCGTGTCACAGACTCTGGCCCATCAGCTAAAGCTGAGACCATGGACACCCCTCCCAGTTTGGGACCCTTTCTGGTGCTCAGCGATAGCACCTTGCAGCACATGCTGCGGGGACATACGTACGGAGTGTTCCCATTGCTGACGGGACAGGTCTTAAGCTGTCCAGGCGCCGCCCTCAATATTTCTGCTAGCAGCGTCCCCTCCATCATGGAGCTCCTCCACTGGCAATTTGGCCTCTTTGGGCCGCACAAATTCAAGGCGGCGGTTCAGAGTCAGCCGGTGGCCTCCATTTTGGAGAGCCACCTTGACGGACAAATCAATGTTCGCTTTATTCCGCTGTCAAGAAGCTTGCGCCCGGAGAAGCAAGTCAATTATGATTACCTGATAGACGGCAGGGTCCAATATGGTTTTGCGGACAAAAACTTGCCAAATCAGGAAATCATGGATTTGGCACAGATACCTGGAGTAGGAGGGGTAGAATGGCTCTACAACTCCAAAAATCTCCACTTCCGCCCTGATGTTGCGGACATCGTCATCCCGGCACTTGTCACAAGAGCCATCGAGGAAATGCGCAACACCCCAGGACTGCCTGTCCTCGTGGTTGCTGGCTGGAATGCTCGCCAGCAGGACATGCATGTCGAAATGCTGGCAGCCCAGGCTCTGTCACAATGCCGCACTGTCCGAGATCTTTCGGAAGTAGCCATGCAGTACGGACATGGCCCCTGGGGTATGCGCTTCATGCATCTCCCAGAATGGGAGGCCGCCCCCGTCCCGGCCCTCCTCTTTCAGACCTATGTCCACGACGACAAGCCGGAGCCCGCCCAAGTTGCGGTCAAAATGTTCGCAGGCTTCACCCGCAAATTCTGTGACGATGGTATCCTTCGGGCTACCCTGCGGCAACTTGCCGGAAAGTACGGCTCCAATCTGCTGGACCGCCTCAGTCAACCTGCTCATAGAGCCGACGTGTTCCGCTACGTTTACCACTACCAGCACGGCGGCCTCTATGTCGATATTAAATGTGGCTTTGTGGTACCCTGGGAACAGGTACTGCAGCTCATGGCAGCAGATTGGAGCACAGCTCACTCAACGAAGGCAGGTGAAGTGGGTCACAGACCCTCCCCACCTGGCCAACTCCCAAAGGAGTTCATGGTCATGGCCATCGGAGTCAAAGGAGATCACATCTTTCAAGGCATCATCTATGGCAAGCCCAGGCACCCTTTGATGAGGGAGGCCATACAGCACGCCTTCAGCCGTCAGGTTATGACAGCGAAGGCGAACCTGGAATACATGATCTTCTGCAAATTTCTCTGGCAGATCTTGAGTCGAGACCTTGGTCATTCCCCTCAAGCGGGCTGGAATGTTTCCGCCAAGTTTGGCCCCATCTACCTGTTCTCGGAGCGCTGGGACAAGCGCGTGAAGAACAAAAAGTATGACAACGATGGCCACTACTTTGTGACAGCCAACAACACGACAGTCGCCTACACCAGGTGCTGGAAGTGGATGAAGGGTTTTCAGGGAGACCCCACCACCAAGGAACGAACCGATCGCATGCTGCAGAGCCAGCTTCCCGACATCTCCCTGGAAATCCAGTCCGATCGACCCGAAGAGCACAGCTCACCTCAGCCACTTAGGTCACAGACCACGGCAACCGCCACATCAGCTCCTCCTCCTCCTACTCAGGAGGACATCGAAACCTATGTGGCAGACAGCATCCAGCACAACTCCTTTGCGGCGCTCATGGCCACAGTCCGCGAGACCCATCATTATAACCAAGATCTTACAGAGCAGGATGTGCTGGAGCTCATCCCTCGCGGCTTGGGACAAATGGAGGTTTCAGGCTCCATGTGGCTGTGCTGCCTCCACTGGCCGGAAGCATAACCGACAGATCCAGTTCAGCACTAGCCACGGCCTCAAAAACCACTTTGTCACGCAGAAGCATGACCCTGTGTCACAACCTGCGGCACCAAGCGACATGTCGGCAACCCTCGCACCACTTCCTCCCCCTCCCCCAAAGCATCCACAGGAGATTCCTCTCCCACCCAGCAGCACCAGGACTAAAGGATCTCCTTCCTCCCGTCCCCCGTCAGCATATGAGCCCCCGGAAACCAATGCGGCACCCGTTGGTTATGTTCCACAGCCGGCTCCACAACAGACAGTACGATACACGAGGCAGGAGCTGGCTCAACTGCTGAGCTCCCAGTCCCACCAGGACTGGATTGGGCCTTGGCTTCCATCAATATCCTGGTGGCTCCCGTCATTCTCGGAGGCCTCACCAACCACGAGCAGCAGACCCTCTGGTCTACCAGGATGGACGCACTCCGCGAGGTCCCTCCGCTGTTTTCTGCCATCAAGTCAGTAAAGACACAAACAGGCCTCACATGGGACATCGCCATGTCGGTGAGGCGGGTCCTCACCAGCGATGGGAAGGTCACTATAGCCACAGGCTCGGGAGGAGCCTATCGCGAGCTGGATGCCCCCACAAAGGTGCATGGCCTTATCCATGCCTGCTTCAACAAGATGTGGGACGAGAAGGACTTTCAGCAGCACTTCCCCTCGTGGGTAGAGTTCAACATGATCGCCACTACCATCGTGGCCGTCTACAATGAGACGGCCAAATCAGCCGGACTCCCAGCTCGTGTCTTCAGGGTCAAACCCAACAAAGATGCCTACTCCATCATGAAGATGCGGATTCAGCATGACAAGGGGCACGAGGAAGACAAGCGCATGGCCAAACTGGCTGCTGCTGCTGCGCCTAACAAGCGCCCACAGATGCAAGAGGCTGACACAGAGGGCAAGCGTCAGCGCGATGCCCCCTCCTCTTCATCCTCGACCCAGTGGACCAGGCAGGCACGCTCCTCCCAAGAGGACGACTGGGACTGGTGGCAGCAGTGGTCCTGGCACAGTTACTCCCAGCAGTGGCCAAAAGGTCACGACCAGTGAGGGTAGAGATATGTCACAGACTTTTTGATCCCCTATGTCACAGACTCTGGGAATTCGGACCTCTTCCGACGCTTAGCAAATCTCTTCGGAAGCCTGTGAACCGCGAGCTAGTCGCTTACAAATAGCACATCACTGCATCAGAGAGTTGCCCACGTCCAAGTTGCCAACAGCCATTCCATCGGCGATGCATGCAGGTACACGCGGTCATGAGCACATGACCCTTACGGCCTTCTGTCTTCAACATGAGTAATCCGTGTGGGGCGCCACGAGACGGATACTCCGGGTGTCGGCTTCGTCTGAAGTACGGCCTAATTTGTTGTGACAGGTGCACAGATGGACGCGTCTGTTCACACCAAGGTGTCGGAGGAGGAAGCTTTTGTAGCTGTAGTTTTCAGTAGCTTGAGCTGATTAGAGAGGTATGAGCGATGCATGCTAGAAGCAGTTTCACGAGTGCACGAGACCAAAGGCGCCCGCAAAGCGCAGAGCACGCTCGCGCAGCGTTCAATTGAAAAATAGAAGACCACTACCACTACCACTCCCACTGCCACTACTGCCACTGTGTGCTGCCACTGTGTACTGCCACTGCGTACTGCCACTGCCACTGCCTCTGCCACTACCACTACTACGACCACTGCCACTACCACCACCACCACCACCACCACCACCACGACTACGACTTCTTCTACTACTACTGCTACTACTACTACTACTACCACTACTACTACTGCTACTACTACTGCCACTACTACCACTACTACCACTACTACTACTACTACTACTACTACTACTACTACTACTACTACTACTACTAGTGCTACTATTGCTGCTGCTGTTGCTGCTACTACTTAGTACTACTACGACTACTACTGCTGCTGCTGCTGCGACTGCTCCTGCTGCTTCCACTACAGCTACTCCTAGCAGGTACCACTACCACAACCACGACCAAGAGGATCAGCAGCAGCAGTAGCACAACCCAGAAGTGAGCTCAATGATTGGATCCTCAAGAATCCTGGGGATATGGCATTCGTCCGCAGCTTCCGCCGAGTCCTTGACTACCAGAGACTCTGTTGCGAAAGCTATGTAATTACCCTAAACCCCTAAACCCTAAACCCCTAAACCTCGAAACCCTAAACTTTAGGGTTTAGGGTTTAAGGGTCTAAGGATCTCTGCTGCTGCTTTGGCTCAGCACCCTCTCCAAAAGAACCAATGCTTTCTGGCTGCTCGGGCTTATATAGTAAGCATACTCTAGGTCACCGGTAGAAGCTTGGAATGCCCTCTACTCGCAGGCCTCCGAAGCCAAGAGATAGCAAAGAGAATGACATTCCGATGAGCGCTAAACCCTAAACCGAAGAATGACATTCCGATGAGCCCTAAACCCTAAACCGAAGAATGACATTCCGATGAGCCCTAAACCCTAAACCGGAGAATGACATTCCGATGAGCCCTAAACCCTGAACCCTGAACCTCTGAACCCCTGAACCGGAGAGAATGAAGTTCCGATGAGCATCCGGACGCTGACGCTGCATTCAGGGCCCGGGGATCCACACTCAGCGCCCCAGGACTCGGCGTTGTCATGCTTTTTGGGAAGTCCAGGCTTCCGGGTTTAGTTTAGAACTAGAAGTCAAGACGCCACACCCCGTGGGCCTCGCCAAAACCGCTCGGCTTTTCGGCTGCTCGAGCAAACTCATGTGCCTCCGGTCGCAGCGAGGTCTGGGGCTAGTTCGCAACCTTTCAAGCTTTACACTGGTTCCGAACTAGGTTCTATACAAAGAGTTTTCTCGCCCCCTTCTTTGAAAGTCAGCCTCAACGGGCTTCTGATGGTGTTCCACCATCCGTCCGGCTTCAGGGGCTTAGTAAGGATATCTGCTAATTGGGCGCCAGTCGGCACCCATGCAATACGCCCTATCGACTTCAAATCTTCGCGAATTCCGGCAAGATCGATAGCTAGGCGCTTGCTTGTAGGCACTCTCGGGACTCCATCCCGAGTCAGATGATCGTACAGGCTCCTACAGTCACTCAGGAACCTCATCTCAAATCTCGAAGTCTTTCTGGCTAACCTTCCAGTGAGGAGGGTCTCCAGGAACCTCGTGATGAAGTCGCCCGTCTCGGTGGCATTGCAACAGGCCATTGTTTCAGCCGCGAAGGTTGACCGGCACACACGCTCGCACGCTCCACTTTTCCAGTCAAGGATACTTCCATGGTAGGCCTCGCCTCGCAAGATCGCCTTGTTCGCAAGGATGTAGACGCCGCCCAATTGGGAGGCAATCGTGGAGTTCGCCTTCTTTGTCTTGGCATCCTTCCTCGCGTAGGGGCCGTCCAGAATGAGTCCTTGTTGGTCTTCCTCTGTGGTCAACTGGTAGTACGGATCTTCCTGGGACTGCGGTGCATTAGCCCACCCGGCGTCGTGGTAGCAGAGGAGCACTGCAGAGTCGAGGTCGACCGGGTAGAAGACGAGTCCTTGTTCTCGGTGTTCGGCGGCTCTTCGTGCCAACTGGTTGGTAAACTTGACGTCTCCAACGGTGGGGGCTTTCTGTCTTTGTTGGCTCATACTCACCCCGACTTGGAGATCGGGTCTAGTTTGACAGGCCATCCAGGATAAGGCCCCGATGAGGGATTGGTTGTCGTGCTTCTGGACCTCGGTTGCCTCGAAGTGGTCGGGGATATCCTGGGCGGTCTCAATCTCGAAAAGCCTAGTACTCGCGTAGCTCGCCTGGGAGATCTTGACACAGTCGGGGAGGATCTCTCTATGTAGGATCCCACATAGTCGAATTTGTCCGCCTCCCAGTCCTGGATAGGGAACTGCGCGCTCAGCTCTTTCTTCAGCAGATCACATAGTCCGCCTTCTCCAACTAGTAGAACATCGTCGACGTGCACCCCAAGGTAGGCCGCAGGCGGATCGAGTAGAAGCTCGCCTTGTTCGTCATGTCCTCTCACGCGCTGAACCATGAAAATGCAGTGATCCAAAGTGCTCTGCACGACCACCCACTCATCGTTCTCGTCTCGGATCCGCAGCTTCTTGACGACCTTCTGGAACTTGTTCCACCACGCAGCTGGGGAATCCACCAACCCGAAAATGGGCTTCTTGATCCTCAGGAGCTGCTCTGGATGTAGGTTCCCGAGTCCAGTGCGAGGCTGTCTCAAGTACAACTCACGGGACAGGTCTTCTCCGCACAGGAACGCCGCCGTGACATCTCCGGCAAATCCTCTCCAACCTTTGGACAAGTTCGATGCGAGGATCTGGAATAGAAGGTGGATGCCCTGCCTCGATATCGTCGGTGCGTGCGTCGCCAATCCTTCTGTAAGGTCGGGGTCGCGGTGGCCCCCGATCACCAGTCTAGCTTTAGGCTTCCATCCCACATCAGGTTGAGCTCTCCTCCTGGACCACAGCTTGTCACGGTAGGCGAAACGGCTGCCCAGTATACGGCCGGGCTTGGTCTTGGTGATTTCTCGACTCTCAGTCACGGAGAGGGGCTCAAGTGCGTCGTGCTCCACATGTTCCGTCCATTGCTTCCACTCCGCTTGTCGGAAGTTCTCCTGCTGTTCGGGTGGTATGAGGCTCCAGGGGATTTCCTTCTCCAAGGCCTTCTCCCTTCCACGGGGAGTCTTTGCCAGCTTCATCATGTAGGTCTCGTTCGCGGCTGGTACTTGGGAAGGACCCTGGGGCCCTTTGGTACGATGTCGTTTCACCACAGGAGGCTGGTTAGCCTCAGGTTGTTTCCTCCGACTGCCTTCTCCGCGTTCCTGTTCAGGTTCTGCTTCGTCATCTCCCGGGGGTAGGACAGGATCTTCCTCCATCTCCTCGTCCTCCTGCTCGTAGATGCCCTCGTCGGCGAAGTCCTGTTCCAGAAGTCGTTGTAGATCATGTTGCGTCGCTCTCAAGGTGAAAGCTTCTCCCAATTCCTCCCCGGTTGCCATCCTCACGTGTTCCGGAGCAGCGAGATGGCATCGCCCGGCGAAGGAGACCCACAAATTAGGTCCTTCCTTTCCAATCACGACGCCGGGCCCGTGCCAGGCCCAATTCTTGTTTCCCTTAGGCTTCCTGTAGAACAGGACGTGAGATCCGATTTGTAGGTCTGGTCCTGCGACTCTGGAACGTTGTAGAAGCCCTTTGCGGATGCGGGAGTCGTTGTGGCACCTGAAATATGCTTCTTTGGCAGCAGAACGAATTGAATGCTCCCTGGCCCTCATTGGATCGTGGGTGATAATGTGCTCGACGTGCTCATCTTGAGGTCCGTTGTGAACTTCATCTGGTAGTTGTGGATTCCTCCCCCAGACGGCCTGTGCAGGACTGAAACCAGCATCCCGACGTAGGGTGTTCATAGCCGCGTTCACAGAAGTGACGACCATGTCGGTCTCCTCATGCGTAGCAGAATGGGTGTCCACAAGCTTGACCCAGATCTCTTTCCATGTTCTAATAGCCCTTTCCACAGTTCCGTTCTGCCAGTGCGCCTGTCCGGCGATCGGCCTGATCCGGGTTCCATGCCATTCGCTGTATCTCCCAAGTCCGGCTTGAAGCCCGGATTCGAGATCAACGATCATAGTTCCCGGAGCTCCGAAGGTATTGCTCCAGATGGAGCAAAAGGAAGCTTCCATGGTGCTCGTCGAGTGGCCTTGGAGGTGGCCCGTAGCAATAAATCCTGTCCCGACATCGACCACCATCATCAGCTCCACCTTCACTCCATTGACGTCGTAGACGTAGAACGCATCCACCGCCACGAGTTGGTTGAAATCCAGCATATTGGGTAAACTGGCGGGCTTTGCAGAGGCGGCTCGTTGGTGCCTCGAACACACTTGGCACCGAATCTTCTTTGTGGCCTCGACGACTGTAGGATCTGCCCCTGCCAAGCGTAGGTGTCTCGCGAGGTCGGTGTTGGAGGGGTGTCCCAAATTCTGGTGTAGTCGTCGGAGCGAGGAACGTACTTCTGGTGCGATCTTGGTGGCCTGCTCAAAGGTGATGCCCTCACCGCCGCGCTTGATCTTTTCCTCATTGTCCTCGTCCCCTTCTCTGGTCTCATGCTTCACCATGTAGTTGAGGAACTCAGGGAGGTCCTCCTTGGGGTCGTGGTGGATGGTGTTCTCGTACTCGTCGTTGATCCTCCAGAGATGAGGTTCTCCCCGTCGCTGGCTCCACCGGTTGTCGTAGCGCTCCAGTAGGTCTTTGATCTCTTTCCGGGTCCAACAGGGGTGCCCAGGAGGAGCCTCAATGACAAGTTGGCCTCCGCGATCTACTTGAGTGCATAGATGCTCCGAGATAGCCGGCAGGAGGTCCTCGATCTTCGGGGCGTGAACCCAAAGTACGGCGGGTTTCATTTCCTCGATGGTATCCCGCACGACGTGTGGGTGAAGTTCGGATCGATTGTCCTCAGCATGGAAGTCGTAGGCGTAGGGTTCCGCAACGAGGTAATCGAGGTCCGTGATCTCGATGGTCTTCTCGTAACCACCAATCTCGAAAAGAGAAACAGCTCCTTGTCCTCGTCCAAGGGGATATTCTTCATACACACATGTAGAAGCCGCCGCCGTACACCACGCAGTCAAAGCCGCCAACCTGGAAGCCTTCTTCCACAGGCCCTTCCTGATGCTTTTTGGTGGCCTGTAGGATCGATCCTTGGCGTCTTCTTTTGATTGTCCTGGCTCATCGTGAATGGGGATCCCTCGCAACGGAAAACGTAATTCACGTAGTTCATCTCGCATCTCGATCGTGCCTTTGGTGTAGCCCCTGGTCGTGTAGCAAGACAAAGCCCATCGTTCGCCTTCCCAGGGTTGCGTTGCGTGCAGCGCCTTCCCGTCGAAGCTGAAGACCTTCCTTAGTGTCAACGATGTAGCCAAGCCGCTGTTCTCCGTCTGGGCCTTGTCGGCTCACTGTTCTCCCACCTTGCCCTTCTGGAGCTTCTCCATGAATCCACAGTTCGCCACCTGTGAACTCGCCGAAGCTCACCGTCTTGATGTGGGTGCCGGCCATGTTGTGGGTGTCGGTGTGGCACTCGGTCGCCGTGTTGCGGAAGATCGCAAAAGACGTCCACTCCCCCACACCTTGGGCCCTAACAAAGGAGTTAATGTACTTGATCGTCCATGGAAGCTCCTTCCCGCTCTTGGTCACTCCGACGAAGGGTCCGTGGGTGTACATTCCGGCAATGAAGTAGTGAAAAGGAAGACCGCCTCCTCGCTTCAGCGCTTTCCCGGTGCGTAATCTGCGAAGAGGAAGAAGGCGTACCACGGTGAGGAGGTCGCTGTAGTCGAAGGCTTTGTTCTTCATCTTGTCCTTGGCACACTCCTCGCAGTCTCGGACACGTTGTCGTCTGCTTACTCCAGGGGGCTCACGTTGGACTACGTCCCCACTGCCGCCAGAGTTCATATTGGTCTGGTAGAAGACGTCCGGGACTTTCATGCCTTCTACGTACACATCCAGCTCCTGGTCCGTCTCCTCATCATCGCCGTGCCCGGGGTACTCATTGCCCTTCGTCGCTTGCGCCTGGTTCGAGAGGAAGTCCGCCTTTTCTTCGTCGCACTCGAAGTACACCTCGTCGTAGTCCTCGTCGTAGTCCTCGTACAGCTCGAGTGGGTTCAGTTCCTTCCCGGGGGAAGGCCGTGACGGTCTTTCAAGATTGCCAGCCTCTCCTCCAGGTACTTCACCTCGTCCGTCACATCCGGCGGCAGGTCCTGGTCCATAGTCGTGGGGGTTGGTGCCACCACTGCTTCGGGTCCCCTGCGTCTCGGCGGTGTCCTGGGTGCCTGTAGTGACGAACTCCCGGGGAGAGCCTTGGGAAGCGCTCCTGGGTACTCCGTCTCGCGGTTCACCATGTCCCACGACGTGGTGGAGGTTGCGTCCTCGATGTACGGAATCGTCGCGTGCTCCTCGGGGTCCAAGTAGATCTCCGTGTCCGGGGTCGCCTTGCGATTCGGCGACTCTCTCCATCGGTGCATCTCCTCGCGCCACCAGTTGGCGAACATCACCAGGTCCTCTGACGGATTGTCGTGAGAGGTCACCTCTTTGAGAGCCCAAGTGCGATAGCTCTCCGGAGTCTCCTTGAACATCTTGCCTTTGAACCGGCCGAAGGTGAGGATCGATTGAGGGCCCATTCCCGCCTGGTCTCGTAGGATGCGCATGATCGTGCCCTTGGTGGCGTACGGCGGGAGGTGGTACCCTTTCTCCATGGCTCTCTCCTTCAGCTGTTCCAGGGTGAGCTTGCTCATCCCGGCGTCCGCTGGGTGGTTGCCCGAGGGGTTCCTCCGGTCTTCCTGAATCAGGGACCGGATTTCTGTCACCGTCCACGTCGGATGGAACCACAGGTTCCGGGCCGTGGCTTCCTCGATCAGCTCGGCCTTCGTGAACTCGGAGAGAGTCTTTGGTCGCGAAACCATCGGGGCCGTCAGCAAGTCGGACCTGAGTGCCATCGCGAGGTTGCAAGGAGCACGAAGAAGGGGCGGGCATCAGCCTTCGTCTACGAAAGACAGTCCTGCCGACCCAAAGCATCGGCAACTGCGTATCATCACTGTCATTCTCCCACATGCCGTGTGTAGCTGGAAACTCTCGCATGGTCTTACAAGAGATCGCATGGACCGTGCGCACAGCTCCAAGGCTTCGAAGGAGAGAGTGTTTACGGGGTACATCAGTTGTTCTCCAATGAAGAGGACTAAAGAAAGATCTCCTTGGCACTACATGAACACGTACAAGTAGTTCTTCGTTCTCCACCCAGAAGTCATTCGAAATCTTTGTTGAGGACCACCATGTTGCGAAGGTTTCGGGATTGAACTTCTCATCGAGAAAGTGATTCTTTGCGGCGCTGCCGATCTTCTTAGGGTAGAACACGTACTCAAAGTTGGTTTTGTTACCTGAATGATCTTCGTGAGGGTCTGAAGTGGGGCTTGCGGTCGAGTCGAAAACCTGTGAACTCACCATCCAGCTAGTAGAGCAACCAACGTCCCTGTCATCAATCCGACTTTCTGAAGTGCTCAATTCCGAAACCGAAGATAGCCCCGCGGTGCATGCCATGTATTGCTCATTCAGCGAGAAGATCTTGATCTCAGTCGACTCCCAATTCGGAGCGGCTGCGGATGACTTCGGGATGACCGCAGGATGTACAGGAAAGGCGGGATGACCTGTATCGGTGATCTGGAGTGCCATGTCGCGTACATCCAGCACACGGAACGAGGCGGAATTGTTCTCTACATCGATGATCATTCCCATCTTGCCTAAGGCTGGCCTCGATACAAGAAGTGGAACTTCACCATTGACGACTGCGACTTTAAGACAGACCTTCTTGCTCCCGAGCTCGAAACACAAGATCACACCGTAGGTCGCCGTGAAAACCCTTGAAGCCCCGAAACGAAAAGCTTCTCCGCACTGCACGAACATAGGTTCACAGCCGAGGCGGCGTGCCTCAGTCAGGTAGAGGTCGATCCATCCAGCTCCTGCAACGGATCGAGAACACGCTGTATCTGTGATAGCTAGAAGTTCCTGCGGAGAGCCGCCGGTGATCTCCCACGTGACATGAACCACGTGGCAAGGATAGCTGGGCTTCACCGTCTCCTTCGGCGGGGTCGTCGTAGCAGTGCCTGAGCCGTTTCCATTGGTGGTGCCCTTGTTCAAAGGACATTCTGCGTCTTTGTGCCAATGTCCTCTACGTCTACATCCTGCACAGAAGCTCTTCGACTTAGCCACGCGGAGCTTGTCCATGGCCAACTGTTTCAAGGAGTTGGGATCGCTTCCTCGAAGTTTCATGTTTTCGCGGTATTTGGCCTTGGCCGTTTCATGTGTCATGTACGCATGGTAGAGGTTTTCCGCAACATCTTCCGAAACACAGTCATGACTGTCCTGGTCCAGGAGGAACTCGTCTTCGGCGCCACCATCGGGACCTTCCTCATCGATGGCTGCCATGTTCGCGGTGAAAGCTTTCTTCGGGGTCCACTCTTTGCGGGGAGCTCGGTTCTGGGTTTCCCAAGGTTTGCGGAGGCCTCTGTCATGTACGATAGCTGCTTGCTGCAATGACTTCAACGAGTACTGGTTCCCCACCGAAGCTAAGAGGTTCAACTCCGCTTGCTCCTCAAGTCCCATCCTGTCTACGAAAACCCACGCTGCTGCCACATCAGGTAGATGGCATCCCACTTCGCCCAATCGGGCGAATGCTCGGTCGAACTCCGCCATGTAGTCCCGCACCGACTGGTTGGCCTTTCTATGAAGGCCACGGAAGAAGCCTGACAGGCTTCGGCCTATCTGCGTCACCTGCACATCGAGGTATCGGTCCTTGATCCAAGCGATGAGGTAGTCCACACCTTCCTTGGTCGCCAGTCTATCGACATCCAAGCGTTCTGCATCGATCCACGCCTTGTCCGTGAGGTGTTGATACAGGGTCAAGCCCTGTTGGTCCACCGACATCCTCGTCATGCGACGCCATGCCGAGACCTGGCGTAGGTACGACCGGGCAGATGTGCCGATATCATCGCCTTGATCTCCGGTGCTGCCGGAGAAACTCGGTACAATCATCTTCTCCGAAGGGCCTCGGCCCCCTTCGCTCGGTCTCCCGTGGAACCCTTTGCCTTGAGCATCAGTAGCAGGACCCCATCCTCCGACTTGAGAACCGTCCTGGATTCCACGCGAATCTCCTGCAGAAACAAATCGTCCCCAGGGCTCGGTCCCCGAGTCCTTGGAGTCCCTATCGTAGCAGTTCCCGTCTCCTGATCCGGATCCTGTAGAAGCCGAGCCCCATCCACGCCAGTCTTGCCAGCGAGGATCCCAATGCTGACCATTGCCAGAGTTCTGAGCCCACCCAGATCTATTCCAGTTTGGATCAGCATCACCCCAGGAGTGACCCCACCAGCTTGACCGCTGGCCTTCACTCCACTTGCCCCAGGTAGTGCCCGGAGCCGCGTAGCCCTGTGCAGCATCATGTTCGTCACCTCGAGGAGCTCTAGCTGGATCAGGCCTAGCATCACTGTCTACGCCATCACCGTGATCTTCGGGGGGATCGTTGGGAGGTTGAGGAACGCCATCGTGCTGCCAAGTACTGTAAAAACTCGTGGGACCGCAGGTCGACATCGAACAAGGAGGCTACAGCCAACAACTAGGTCCTAGGAGCGCTATTCGCTCCGCTACCAATTTAGAACTAGAAGTCAAGACGCCACACCCCGTGGGCCTCGCCAAAACCGCTCGGCTTTTCGGCTGCTCGAGCAAACTCATGTGCCTCCGGTCGCAGCGAGGTCTGGGGCTAGTTCGCAACCTTTCAAGCTTTACATTTAGGGGTATTAGGGGGTTCGGGTATTAGGGGTATTAGGGGTATTATGTAGGGGTTTAGGGTATTAGGGGTTTAGAGGTTTAGGGGTTACGGGTATTAAGGGTTTAGGGCTTGTGGTATAAAGGGTTTAAGGAATTTGGTGTTTAGGGGTTTAGGGGTTGAGGGTATTAGGGGTTTAGGGTTCAGGGTTCCATTGCTGATATCTATGTGGCTATTTGGCTCAAAGAGAAAGACATGCGCAGTCTGTCTTTTTAAGAAAGCCTTCCCTGCGGATGCTTCTGTAGATTTGGGGTTGAGGCTCTCAGACAGAAGTCCCGTGATATGACCCAAGTCCTATGCCGTGAAGTTTTCGCACTTCAAAATGTGGCAGAGATGGCCTCTGCAGAACTATCGCAGCTGCTGCTGCTGCTCCAACGGCGGCAAGGACAGCAATGAGTGTGGCGGCCAAATCCCGCGTGGGGAGGTCGCAGACGTGGGGAGAGTCCTGATGATGGGGCAGCGCATATCGTATATTGGAACAGTATGGGGTCAACATCACCGGACTAGTGGCTAAGCTTCCAAACAAATATTGAAAGCTTCGGGATCACACCCTCAACTATAGCTTCAATCCACGCTCGGAGGATACTTCACAACAGCACAATCACACATCAGGCCTTGGCGACAAAAACCATCAGATTCCGATACCTGAGCCAAGTAAGTGGACATCAGGGATTGGGGATGGCTTACATCAACAGCATGTCTAGCCTTTGATCAGATCCAAGCACGTGAGCCAAGCTGCTCCCACAAGGCATGGAAGCCCGCGGACATGCCTGACTGGCATGAAACTGGCAAGGAGATTCGATTCGATCTGCTGCCTAAAGCCTAAACCTTCAACCCTTAACCATGTAGGTTTGAAGGACGTGCGCAATGAGTCTGGCAAATGAGTCGGATTGAATGTGCTGCTTTTCTGACAACACGAACACGACGAAGCCAGACAAGGCTCTTGTACCACCTGACAAACAGTTTATTGCGGGCGCTTCCGTGGCTGTGGAGGAAGCAGGGCGTGGTAGCCCATCAATGGGAAAACATGCCAGAAGCTTTTGGTAGATGATGAGGAAGGAGTGGCAGTGGCTCATGGACGCATACAGTTTGAGCAGCTGAATGACGTTGTGACGTTGAACTTGGCAGTCGGTGCCATGGACGTCCCGGTTTCACTGGCTCCGGCTCCGCACAATTTCTTGGGATGTGGGAACTCATTACGTCATTCCATGCCGCAGAAGTTGATGCAGAAGGCTCTCAAGCAGGGAGAGGTTCAAAAAAAGCCATCGGTAACATTCAGTCACCGACCAAGGGGAACAGGAGTGCGGGAGGCCACGTCTCGGGGAAGGATAGCGAGCTGAGCGATCGGAAGTTCCTTGAAGTCCGGGAGCATGGGTTAGGGTTTAGGGGTTTAGGGTCCCGAGGGTTTGGCGATTAGCCATCTTGTACAAGCAAGCTGCCCTGCGCAAGCTGGTGGGACAAGGCCAGGCAGTATCGCGTGTGGCCCTTCTCCAGCTCTCGGATCCTTGGCCACACGCGCCTCTGAGATCCTGTACTTCTCTCAGGCCAACTGGTCCCAAATATCAAGCATGAGCTGCATGTGGCAAACAATATTCACTACATCAACAATACCAGCAATAATAGCCATACTAGCAACAGCAGCAATGGTAATATTCACGGTAATAGCAAGACTGATAATGACCGACGTGACAGCTTGACCACTGACTTTGTTCTGAAATACAGTCTGCGGGCCTCATGAAACGAGGATACCCCCCCCCCCCCATTGGCAGGGGTCCCGCAATCACACTGACTTCGCAGCACAAGGCTGAACCCGTAAAGCCTAAACCTGTAAATCCTAATCCCTGAACCCTAAACCCTAAGCCCCTAAACCCAAAACCCTGCAAACTCTAAACCACGAAGTCTGGCTTGCCAAGATTCAGGTATCTTTGCCATCGCCCATTCACATGACCATGTCCGGCCTGCAATTATTTCTTTCAGGATACAGCAGAGTGATTGAGGGGCTTAGGGTTTAGGACTTCTTTTCGGGTTTAGGGTTTAAGGTTGAGGGTTTAGGTTGAAGGCTTAGGAAACTTTTTCTTCAGGACTTGAGGACATGGGATTTACTTTGGGCACCCCTGCGCAAAACAACCTTCATCCGTCGCAGCAAGCGAAGCATGGCCTGCCCAGGCGTTGCCCACGCAAGGACAATGCCCTCCTTAGGTCTCGGGAAATCGAAGTACACACGACTTTCTAGTTGCGCCAGATTTCTGCAACCCTTGTGCTTGCTCGACAACCACTCTCTTCGCACGTGAAAAGTCTCTGTATCTGTAGCGGCCAATTAAGTTGGAATTGACACGACGTGCTAAAAAACACTACTGGGCTCCACCTTACAGCTAGCTGACACATTGGCGCCCAGCACATTTGAAGGGTTACGCCTCATATGATGGTCTTTCGACAGTATGTATCCGCAACAGTGACCAAGCACCTCTTCCTGCAGAGCTCGCACCTCCATCTGCCTCTATGCCCGCCCCTTCTCTTTTGCCTTCCTCTCCAGCCTACTTCAAATGATTCGTGCTGTGATTTGCTGGCTGTGCTGCTGCTGGCTACAGCTGCAACCATGACATTGCCACAGTAAACCCTCAACCCTAAACTCTAAACCCGAATTCCTAAATTCCAAACCCCGAACCCTCAACCCCAAACTCTGAACTCTGAAAAATCAAAGAGTCCCGGGCTTGACGGAGAGTGCGGAGGAAGGCCTCCTCGGCCTGCTACAAGTGGCTACAAGTGGGTAATTCTCTAAATCAGGGTCCTTTTTATAAGGGTGCCGTACCTTTCTGGGGATCTAAACAGGGACCCTAAGATAGAGAACGACCCGAGCGTTTGCATATACTCAGATTTACCTGAGACCTCATGATCGAGCGGCGTCACAGAAATAGAGTCCATGCGATGCAGCGGTTACAACCCTAGAGTCAATAATTAGAAAAGGGTTGGGGGCATATTTTACTAGAATAAGGAACCCCCAAAATAGCACCGGTAATTATTAGTGCGGAATACCGGTTATTTCTGATATTCCAGGCTTCGTTTATCATAAGAGCCGAAGATGCTCCAAGCCGCCACATCAATCTACAGCTGCGCACTGCCTCAGGAGCAATGTGCTCGCCAACCTCGAAGGACAGAGTGAAGTCCACATCCTTGCCATGCGACGTTTAGACACACGGGAGTTTCCGAAAATAGGGGGACCCTAATATAGTACTCTCTCTCTCTCTCTCTCTCTCTCCTTGTGTTTTGGGGTGTTTCGGTTTTCAGGGTGGTGTGATTCAAGGGCTTTTGGCGAACTGGCTAGCAGGCTGTTGTCCCTGCTGCCGTTGCTGTTTGGTTGCCGGGTTCCAGTCTTCCCGCGCTTATTGTCTTCGTACCTGCGGGCGCCAGTTATTCTGGAGACCAATGGGAGCTGGTATTCCTTTGTGGTATACTGATGCTACGTTTTTGAACCCATGCCTTTCCTGAGAGCGCTGGTAGTTGTAGCGATTGCCGCCATAGGTGTCTCTGGAGGTGGGTCTGTCTTTGCTGAGGCGCTTTCAGACGCACAGCAGGGCTCTCCCTGCTCTGGGGGGTCGCCAATGGGTCTATGGCAGTAGGAAGATATCGCAAGGTGGCATCTTGCTGACTGTGCAGCAATACTCGAACCACTGACTTGCGCTGATCTTTCCGGCTTAGTGTAGATTGAAGGCAGCTTGTCTTGGCCCATTGAGATAAGCCCGCTGAGACGCTCGGACTTGGCGGCATTCATGCAAAGCAAAGTAGGACCTTATTAGAAGGGCCTCAAAACATGTCACCCCTAATTTTCGGAAACTCTCACATAAAGATGTAACGGAATGTGTTCTTAGGAAATTCAGCAGACATGGTTGTGCCTTAGGAGCATGGTGGCGCTGCGACTTGCCAACGACCTTATTGCGGATGGGCGACCTCCATCGGGAAGAAAGTCTGAAGGTCCCACTGTCGGTAGTTGTTTCCCAGATTGCGGATGGCCTACCAAAGGCCATCGAGGGACGTTGGAACCAAAGCACCCATAACCTTCTGAAACATCTAAGAGCCAGAAACATGCACAAGAAGTCTCTGACAAACGTAAATACGGATTTTCCCCAGCCGTTTGCAGCTCTTCCACTCGCCTTGTAGCCATCCAGGCCAATGCAGCGAATCCCAGGTATCGTGTTCCTGTTCTTCTCAGTTTTCTCTTGAGAATATCTAGCAGACGGATCAGTTGCACATGCTTCTTCTTGGGGGGGCGATGATTTTGAAAAACTATGTTTGAGTTGCATGAAGCTGCCGTTTTAAGTTTCAACCACTTTCAACACGCCCTAACTTCAGTCTGCACACGTGTGAATGACTCTCCTTGTTTCATCCGGCGCATATGGGTGGTTCTCGAAATTACGGTCCCCTTTTTCGCCCCCTATTATAATACGGCACCTATTATTCAAGGTACCCAAACAGGGACCCTAATTTTGACAACTACCCATATAATATAGACGTCAAACCTCAGCCCTTTCTCTGTCCCAGGCTCAGGCTGTAAGACAGCTGCCCATTGCCGCATCCCAGCTCCAGAGCTGTAACGTTGCGGCCCAGTCGCCAAACCTGCTACTTACACAAGTATTACGTCGTAATTCCCGAATGCTAAACCGGAGCACTCAACCCTGTAAATCCTAAACCCTAAATCCTATAAAACCTATATATCCTAAACCCTAAAGATTCTACCCAACAATGCCTAAAACCTGAACCCTCGCATTCTGCGATGCTTCCATGCCAGGCTCATGCCCGATTCCTGACTGCTTGGAGGCGTATCAGCTCAGGTGTTTCACTCATGAAGTCGCGAAACTAAGAATGCCAGTGAGGATGATAAAAAGCAAAAGAGCATGGCAATCGAAGCAGTCATACTCACGATTTGCACAACAATCTTCATGATGGTACTCATGATAATCGCTGTACTTGCAGCGACTGATGCCGGAGATTTCAACAACACTTCTACTGGGCCTCCGCTGCTAGGAAGCTGCCAACATTTAGTTCGCGCCGATCTCGGCTGCTTTGGCCTTCCACCACGGCCTCCGAGAGGGTTTAGGGTAGTTACCCTAAACCCTAAACCCTGCGGCTTTAGAGTCTCGGGTGGTTTTTGATTTGTGCTGCGAAAGTACGACTGCCAAAAGGGATAGGCCAGAATGCGCTTCCGCGGACCTTCCGCACAGCTTCCGCGAATGGCTGTATGTTAGATCCTGCTGTAACCTCATGCATGGCTGATCGCAACACTCAAGTTTGATTTAAGCCACTAGACATTGCGAGCCCCACTCGCCCTTGTGCCACTATTGATCATTCCGCCAAACTCCTTCTACAAAAGACTTCTGCGAGTGCTCTGCTCTCTGATATGCAGGAAACTTAACCTTCCACGAGCATGCCGTCAAAAAATGCACCATAGCACTACTGCCTCTACCGAGTGCTTCGTTAACTGCTCCCGTGACCTGTCGCCTCAAGACAGGTAAGAGCTGACGGGCCACGTTACGCCAAGCAACCGGACTAACTTAGGGTTCAGGGTTTTAGGGTTTAGGCTAGTGGCCAGGAACTTGAAACTCCTTGTTCCGATGAACCGCTCAATTATCAAGCGCGGGTCTCATAACCGTACATTGAATACCTTGAAGCAGCATATTCCCATGAATTGAAGTTGATCGGATTGCCCAAAAATCTGAAGACCTGCCCCAAAAGACTGAGCTCACGTTTCAACAGCATGTCCGCGGCTGCATGACAACAAGCTGTCTGCCAAGCTTCTGCATTGAACATCCACGTATCTACACCGGTGGAATGCCCAGGATACGTTGCAAACGACTAGCAATGGAAAGGCAAACGCAAGTTAACCTGAATATCAGGTCGGATTCGATGAGCAGTTTGCATATCTGAACCTTTAGACTCTAGACCCTTCATGCTTTGAAAGTGTAGCTTCGAGCAATGCTCTTCGGCCGTTTTGGCCACAACTCGTTTGACTAAGCTGGTGCACGGGCAGCCCGCCAAAGCTCAACACAGTACCCCGGATAGTCCATGCCAGTTCGGGATGTTTGGATGCAATAAGCTCGCAGCTGGGAGCAGAAAACCTAGGCATGACTCTGAACTTGAAGTAGCTGAAATTTGCCCAATGAAATTTTTAAGAATCCAACCAGGACTGAACCATTCGAAAGAAGCTTGCTGGGGCCTCCTTTGAAAAGTAGCCTTGGTGCATCGGCGCGGCGCTTACTGGCTCATAGCCGTAGTGCAACCTTGGATGCTTAAGAATTCGGAATTACGGCAGTACTACGGTAGGACGAAAGTTTGACCTATTCCTTGTTTCGTCCAAGACAGGCCCCCATTCCCCTGTAGACTCCTAGCGCACAGGACCCACCGGCTACTCCTCCGGAACATTAAAGTAGTATAATTTTAAAACGGGGTAGAAAATACTCCGCTGGCCAGGCCACGTAAATCGCACTTGTCGCTACTCCGCTACTCCGCAAGATGCTTTAAGACAAGAAAGGCCCAGTAGGTCAAAACTTTCGTCCTCCCGATGCCTCACCGCGACCTTTTTAAAGGAGTAAATCCTGCGCTACAGCATGCGCCTGATCTGTTGATGTTTGGCTTGAGGATGAGGAAGACTCACTCTAGCCAGAGGTCATGCCGGTGAGCGCCTTGCAGCGGGCGAAGCGTGTCCTCGTCTCCGTGCTGCTGTCTCTTGCAGCAGCCTACGGCCTGGACTTGAAGCTGGCACGGGAGGCGAGTGACGACGAGGTCACCAAGGCCTTTCGCCGGGTAACACGACGTGTGCATCCAGACAAAGGCGGCGCTGCCGCCGATGCACAGCGCTTGAACGCTGCAAGGGATGCTTGGCTCACCGCTACCACGAACTCCAAGGGCAGGGGCCGGCCGGCCCAGGCAAGCCAAGCACCCGCAGCAGCCGCAGCTGCGCTGGCTCCCGCCTGCGACGGCTTTCGTGTACGCTCCGTCGCAGTCCTGCTGACCTACCAGAGCTGGCTCCTGACAGACAGCGCCGCAACCTGGCAGCGTTTCTTGCAGTTCGTGGAAGGGCAAGTGGCCACCTGGAATGTGCAACACTGGTCGGCGACCATGGAGCAAAACGCTTCAGGGACCTGCCACCTGCACCTGATGCTGCAGTTCAGGTCTGCCGTGGACTGTGGGACCAGCCGCTTCTCCTTTGAAGGCACACGCCCCAACGCTAGCCCCCACGACTACCTCGGAGAAGGCTGGTGCCGCAAGAAGCTCCAGCAGTCCATCAACCGGGGCATGTTTTACGTGTGGGCAGAGAAGCTCGGAACGGTGCGCCTGGCTGCTGGAGGCCTCTGCGTGGCCGGCAATTACGAGCCATGCTGGACCAAGGCGGCCATGACGTACCAGGTGCTGGGTAAGTGGCCCGAAACCTTGTGGAAGCAGCGGAAGCTCTCCACAGAACGGTACGAGGACTACCTCTACCTCACACGCGACGGGGTGCTGGCCCGCAAGCGGAACTTGGACGCAGTGCGCGAGCATGAGGAAGCAGCCGCAGAGCACGCCGTCATAGAGGCCAACACCGCCCGGCTACGCTCCAACCCAGAGTTGTACCAGCCGTTCCCTCTGGTTCCAGAAGCCCAAGCGTGCCTCGGCACTTTTAAAGAGGACCGGCTTCGGTACCCGCTCCTGGTAGTCTTGGGTGCCTCACAGACCGGGAAGACAGAGTGGGTCAAGTCCCTTTTCAGGAAGCCATTGGAACTGAAAGTGGGAAGCCTGCAGGTGTTTCCCGAAGCCATGCGAAGCTTTGACAGACGGGTGCACGACGGCATCATTCTGGATGATGTTCGAGACATTGCATTCCTGTCTGAACAGCAAGACAAGATGCAAGGGAAGTATGATGCCAGAGTGGAGTTTGCAACTACCCCTGGTGGGACGTGTGCTTACAGCAAGTACCTCTTCGCTGTTCCCATCGCAGTAACCATCAACAAGAGCACACGCAACCTAGACTTCCTGGACACACATGACTGGTTGAAGCACCCTAGCAATCGAGTCCTCCTGAACTTTCCTGACATCCTCGGCCAGCTCTAGGCTCTAGACACGTTTCACGGCCAATGCAGTTCTAGGCATCTTCTGCCGGAAAAAGGACGGAAGCAGGGTGTCTGCTACTGCACAGGTGAAGTCGACCCTTCGACTTGAAGACAACTTAAGAGGGCTCCAGCTTGCAACTGCGGGCGGTCTGGTCGCCTTAGACGGCATGGGATGGGAGAGAAAGAAGGAGCCTTACACGGCGTGGGGTGGGAGAGAAAGAAGGAAAAGCACACACACACACACACACACACACACACACTTGCAAACTCCATGGTGGGAAAGGCTAGAGAGATTTACTCTTTCGACATGCCAGGTTTTTGGCTTGGCCTGGTTGCCATCTCGATCGCAGGTACACCAAGCAGATCAGGCTTGGCTTCCCTCTCTGATACACACAGACAGGCTTTGACAGCTCTTCCGTAGTACGATGCACTCGACACGACCTCGTCGCACTGTCCAGCGGATGCTGGCCACTAGGCAACAACCGCCGCTGCAGCTGCAGACTAGCTGACTAGCGAACTTAACTCTTATCTACATCGCTCTGTTTCTGCCGCAGCCACGAAGACTTGAAGCCATGCCGCTGGTCCAGGAGGTCAGGCACCCGAAGTCGCTTGACTTCAGCAATGAGCGGAAAGCGGTTCTGCTTCGTCACACCGGATGTACCTGGGAGCACATCCGTGGGCAGGTGAGAAACCTGCAGGGTGGAATGCCTTCGGTGTCTCAGCTGCAGCGCCTCTGCAAAGGCTTCAGTCAGCAGCGTGGTCAGCGAGTCTACAAGTACCAGAACTGCGGTCAGAAGCCCACGAAGGCAACCAAGACCGTTGAGAAGTTCCTTGTGCAAAGATTGCTGGCTCTGCGCCTGCAGTGCACATGCACGGCTACCACGCTGCAGCGAGAGGTGACAGCAGCCAAAGGGATCACCCTCGATGTCTCCACAATCCGGAAAATTCTGAACAAGAATGGCTTTCACTGGTTGCCCAAGGCACAGAAGCGAAAGTACAGCAAGCAGCGGAAGCAGGAGCGACTGGCATTTGCCAAGGCCGTGGTGCGATTGACGAAGGCAGAGCTGCGAGAGAAGCTTTCTCTCTCCATGGATGGCGTCGTCCTGGCAGTGCCGCCGAAGGATGCCACGGACAGGGCGAACTACTGCGCCTACGGTGGCGGCCACATGTGGCGCAAACGGGGGGAAGCTGGCGTGGAGAAGCTGGCGGGCGACGACCCGTACCCGCAGCAGATCCCACAGGCTCGCATCGTCCCTTTGTGGGGTGGCCTGTCTGAGGGTGGCTTCAGTGTCATCACCTTCCACAAGGCACGAAAGCTCACATCCGCGGAGTGGTGCGGCCTGGTCCACAAGGGCAAGTTGACCGCAGCCATTCGCGCACTGGAGCCGTGCAAACCGGATGGCCCGTGGAAGGTTCTGTGTGACAATGAGTCCTTCTTGCACACGGCTGCGAGCAAGCGTGCGATGGCAGACGAGGGCATCGCACTGTGGCGTGTGCCGGCCAAGTCTCCGGACCTCAACCCTGTAGAGCAAATGTGGGCTTGGCTTCGGCGGCGTCTCCATGAGAAAGACCGGGAAGACCTCCGTCGAAAGAGGCCTGTTCCAGGCGTGACAGCCTTCAAGGCCCGAGTACGTGCCGTTCTCGCTTCCGAGAGAGCACAGACAGTCGCGGGCAACATCGCGGCTAGTTTTCGCAAGACTTGTAAAGAAGTCATTGCCAAGAAGGGGGGCATGGCACGGGGCTGAGGTCCTGAGAAGTTTCACCAGCTGCTGAGGGCGGACTCTGGCACTCAAAATTCACGCTACGGTAGGACGAAAGTTTGACCTATTCCTTGTTTCGTCCAAGACAGGCCCCCATTCCCCTGTAGACTCCTAGCGCACAGGACCCACCGGCCACTCCTCCGGAACATTAAAGTAGTATAATTTTAAAACGGGGTAGAAAATACTCCGCTGGCCAGGCCACGTAAATCGCACTTGTCGCTACTCCGCTACTCCGCAAGATGCTTTAAGACAAGAAAGGCCCAGTAGGTCAAAACTTTCGTCCTCCCGATGCCTCACCGCGACCTTTTTAAAGGAGTAAATCCTGCGCTACAGCATGCGCCTGATCTGTTGATGTTTGGCTTGAGGATGAGGAAGACTCACTCTAGCCAGAGGTCATGCCGGTGAGCGCCTTGCAGCGGGCGAAGCGTGTCCTCGTCTCCGTGCTGCTGTCTCTTGCAGCAGCCTACGGCCTGGACTTGAAGCTGGCACGGGAGGCGAGTGACGACGAGGTCACCAAGGCCTTTCGCCGGGTAACACGACGTGTGCATCCAGACAAAGGCGGCGCTGCCGCCGATGCACAGCGCTTGAACGCTGCAAGGGATGCTTGGCTCACCGCTACCACGAACTCCAAGGGCAGGGGCCGGCCGGCCCAGGCAAGCCAAGCACCCGCAGCAGCCGCAGCTGCGCTGGCTCCCGCCTGCGACGGCTTTCGTGTACGCTCCGTCGCAGTCCTGCTGACCTACCAGAGCTGGCTCCTGACAGACAGCGCCGCAACCTGGCAGCGTTTCTTGCAGTTCGTGGAAGGGCAAGTGGCCACCTGGAATGTGCAACACTGGTCGGCGACCATGGAGCAAAACGCTTCAGGGACCTGCCACCTGCACCTGATGCTGCAGTTCAGGTCTGCCGTGGACTGTGGGACCAGCCGCTTCTCCTTTGAAGGCACACGCCCCAACGCTAGCCCCCACGACTACCTCGGAGAAGGCTGGTGCCGCAAGAAGCTCCAGCAGTCCATCAACCGGGGCATGTTTTACGTGTGGGCAGAGAAGCTCGGAACGGTGCGCCTGGCTGCTGGAGGCCTCTGCGTGGCCGGCAACTACGAGCCATGCTGGACCAAGGCGGCCATGACGTACCAGGTGCTGGGTAAGTGGCCCGAAACCTTGTGGAAGCAGCGGAAGCTCTCCACAGAACGGTACGAGGACTACCTCTACCTCACACGCGACGGGGTGCTGGCCCGCAAGCGGAACTTGGACGCAGTGCGCGAGCATGAGGAAGCAGCCGCAGAGCACGCCGTCATAGAGGCCAACACCGCCCGGCTACGCTCCAACCCAGAGTTGTACCAGCCGTTCCCTCTGGTTCCAGAAGCCCAAGCGTGGCTCGGCACTTTTAAAGAGGACCGGCTTCGGTACCCGCTCCTGGTAGTCTTGGGTGCCTCACAGACCGGGAAGACAGAGTGGGTCAAGTCCCTTTTCAGGAAGCCATTGGAACTGAAAGTGGGAAGCCTGCAGGTGTTTCCCGAAGCCATGCGAAGCTTTGACAGACGGGTGCACGACGGCATCATTCTGGATGATGTTCGAGACATTGCATTCCTGTCTGAACAGCAAGACAAGATGCAAGGGAAGTATGATGCCAGAGTGGAGTTTGCAACTACCCCTGGTGGGACGTGTGCTTACAGCAAGTACCTCTTCGCTGTTCCCATCGCAGTAACCATCAACAAGAGCACACGCAACCTAGACTTCCTGGACACACATGACTGGTTGAAGCACCCTAGCAATCGAGTCCTCCTGAACTTTCCTGACATCCTCGGCCAGCTCTAGGCTCTAGACACGTTTCACGGCCAATGCAGTTCTAGGCATCTTCTGCCGGAAAAAGGACGGAAGCAGGGTGTCTGCTACTGCACAGGTGAAGTCGACCCTTCGACTTGAAGACAACTTAAGAGGGCTCCAGCTTGCAACTGCGGGCGGTCTGGTCGCCTTAGACGGCATGGGATGGGAGAGAAAGAAGGAGCCTTACACGGCGTGGGGTGGGAGAGAAAGAAGGAAAAGCACACACACACACACACACACACACACACTTGCAAACTCCATGGTGGGAAAGGCTAGAGCGATTTACTCTTTCGACATGCCAGGTTTTTGGCTTGGCCTGGTTGCCATCTCGATCGCAGGTACACCAAGCAGATCAGGCTTGGCTTCCCTCTCTGATACACACAGACAGGCTTTGACAGCTCTTCCGTAGTACGATGCACTCGACACGACCTCGTCGCACTGTCCAGCGGATGCTGGCCACTAGGCAACAACCGCCGCTGCAGCTGCAGACTAGCTGACTAGCGAACTTAACTCTTATCTACATCGCTCTGTTTCTGCCGCAGCCACGAAGACTTGAAGCCATGCCGCTGGTCCAGGAGGTCAGGCACCCGAAGTCGCTTGACTTCAGCAATGAGCGGAAAGCGGTTCTGCTTCGTCACACCGGATGTACCTGGGAGCACATCCGTGGGCAGGTGAGAAACCTGCAGGGTGGAATGCCTTCGGTGTCTCAGCTGCAGCGCCTCTGCAAAGGCTTCAGTCAGCAGCGTGGTCAGCGAGTCTACAAGTACCAGAACTGCGGTCAGAAGCCCACGAAGGCAACCAAGACCGTTGAGAAGTTCCTTGTGCAAAGATTGCTGGCTCTGCGCCTGCAGTGCACATGCACGGCTACCACGCTGCAGCGAGAGGTGACAGCAGCCAAAGGGATCACCCTCGATGTCTCCACAATCCGGAAAATTCTGAACAAGAATGGCTTTCACTGGTTGCCCAAGGCACAGAAGCGAAAGTACAGCAAGCAGCGGAAGCAGGAGCGACTGGCATTTGCCAAGGCCGTGGTGCGATTGACGAAGGCAGAGCTGCGAGAGAAGCTTTCTCTCTCCATGGATGGCGTCGTCCTGGCAGTGCCGCCGAAGGATGCCACGGACAGGGCGAACTACTGCGCCTACGGTGGCGGCCACATGTGGCGCAAACGGGGGGAAGCTGGCGTGGAGAAGCTGGCGGGCGACGACCCGTACCCGCAGCAGATCCCACAGGCTCGCATCGTCCCTTTGTGGGGTGGCCTGTCTGAGGGTGGCTTCAGTGTCATCACCTTCCACAAGGCACGAAAGCTCACATCCGCGGAGTGGTGCGGCCTGGTCCACAAGGGCAAGTTGACCGCAGCCATTCGCGCACTGGAGCCGTGCAAACCGGATGGCCCGTGGAAGGTTCTGTGTGACAATGAGTCCTTCTTGCACACGGCTGCGAGCAAGCGTGCGATGGCAGACGAGGGCATCGCACTGTGGCGTGTGCCGGCCAAGTCTCCGGACCTCAACCCTGTAGAGCAAATGTGGGCTTGGCTTCGGCGGCGTCTCCATGAGAAAGACCGGGAAGACCTCCGTCGAAAGAGGCCTGTTCCAGGCGTGACAGCCTTCAAGGCCCGAGTACGTGCCGTTCTCGCTTCCGAGAGAGCACAGACAGTCGCGGGCAACATCGCGGCTAGTTTTCGCAAGACTTGTAAAGAAGTCATTGCCAAGAAGGGGGGCATGGCACGGGGCTGAGGTCCTGAGAAGTTTCACCAGCTGCTTAGGGCGGACTCTGGCACTCAAAATTCACGCTACGGTAGGACGAAAGTTTGACCTATTCCTTGTTTCGTCCAAGACAGGCCCCCATTCCCCTGTAGACTCCTAGCGCACAGGACCCACCGGCCATTCCTCCGGAACATTAAAGTAGTATAATTTTAAAACGGGGTAGAAAATACTCCGCTGGCCAGGCCACGTAAATCGCACTTGTCGCTACTCCGCTACTCCGCAAGATGCTTTAAGACAAGAAAGGCCCAGTAGGTCAAAACTTTCGTCCTCCCGATGCCTCACCGCGACCTTTTTAAAGGAGTAAATCCTGCGCTACAGCATGCGCCTGATCTGTTGATGTTTGGCTTGAGGATGAGGAAGACTCACTCTAGCCAGAGGTCATGCCGGTGAGCGCCTTGCAGCGGGCGAAGCGTGTCCTCGTCTCCGTGCTGCTGTCTCTTGCAGCAGCCTACGGCCTGGACTTGAAGCTGGCACGGGAGGCGAGTGACGACGAGGTCACCAAGGCCTTTCGCCGGGTAACACGACGTGTGCATCCAGACAAAGGCGGCGCTGCCGCCGATGCACAGCGCTTGAACGCTGCAAGGGATGCTTGGCTCACCGCTACCACGAACTCCAAGGGCAGGGGCCGGCCGGCCCAGGCAAGCCAAGCACCCGCAGCAGCCGCAGCTGCGCTGGCTCCCGCCTGCGACGGCTTTCGTGTACGCTCCGTCGCAGTCCTGCTGACCTACCAGAGCTGGCTCCTGACAGACAGCGCCGCAACCTGGCAGCGTTTCTTGCAGTTCGTGGAAGGGCAAGTGGCCACCTGGAATGTGCAACACTGGTCGGCGACCATGGAGCAAAACGCTTCAGGGACCTGCCACCTGCACCTGATGCTGCAGTTCAGGTCTGCCGTGGACTGTGGGACCAGCCGCTTCTCCTTTGAAGGCACACGCCCCAACGCTAGCCCCCACGACTACCTCGGAGAAGGCTGGTGCCGCAAGAAGCTCCAGCAGTCCATCAACCGGGGCATGTTTTACGTGTGGGCAGAGAAGCTCGGAACGGTGCGCCTGGCTGCTGGAGGCCTCTGCGTGGCCGGCAACTACGAGCCATGCTGGACCAAGGCGGCCATGACGTACCAGGTGCTGGGTAAGTGGCCCGAAACCTTGTGGAAGCAGCGGAAGCTCTCCACAGAACGGTACGAGGACTACCTCTACCTCACACGCGACGGGGTGCTGGCCCGCAAGCGGAACTTGGACGCAGTGCGCGAGCATGAGGAAGCAGCCGCAGAGCACGCCGTCATAGAGGCCAACACCGCCCGGCTACGCTCCAACCCAGAGTTGTACCAGCCGTTCCCTCTGGTTCCAGAAGCCCAAGCGTGGCTCGGCACTTTTAAAGAGGACCGGCTTCGGTACCCGCTCCTGGTAGTCTTGGGTGCCTCACAGACCGGGAAGACAGAGTGGGTCAAGTCCCTTTTCAGGAAGCCATTGGAACTGAAAGTGGGAAGCCTGCAGGTGTTTCCCGAAGCCATGCGAAGCTTTGACAGACGGGTGCACGACGGCATCATTCTGGATGATGTTCGAGACCTTGCATTCCTGTCTGAACAGCAAGACAAGATGCAAGGGAAGTATGATGCCAGAGTGGAGTTTGCAACTACCCCTGGTGGGACGTGTGCTTACAGCAAGTACCTCTTCGCTGTTCCCATCGCAGTAACCATCAACAAGAGCACACGCAACCTAGACTTCCTGGACACACATGACTGGTTGAAGCACCCTAGCAATCGAGTCCTCCTGAACTTTCCTGACATCCTCGGCCAGCTCTAGGCTCTAGACACGTTTCACGGCCAATGCAGTTCTAGGCATCTTCTGCCGGAAAAAGGACGGAAGCAGGGTGTCTGCTACTGCACAGGTGAAGTCGACCCTTCGACTTGAAGACAACTTAAGAGGGCTCCAGCTTGCAACTGCGGGCGGTCTGGTCGCCTTAGACGGCATGGGATGGGAGAGAAAGAAGGAGCCTTACACGGCGTGGGGTGGGAGAGAAAGAAGGAAAAGCACACACACACACACACTTGCAAACTCCATGGTGGGAGTAGCTAGAGCGATTTACTCTTTCGACATGCCAGGTTTTTGGCTTGGCCTGGTTGCCATCTCGATCGCAGGTACACCAAGCAGATCAGGCTTGGCTTCCCTCTCTGATACACACAGACAGGCTTTGACAGCTCTTCCGTAGTACGATGCACTCGACACGACCTCGTCGCACTGTCCAGCGGATGCTGGCCACTAGGCAACAACCGCCGCTGCAGCTGCAGACTAGCTGACTAGCGAACTTAACTCTTATCTACATCGCTCTGTTTCTGCCGCAGCCACGAAGACTTGAAGCCATGCCGCTGGTCCAGGAGGTCAGGCACCCGAAGTCGCTTGACTTCAGCAATGAGCGGAAAGCGGTTCTGCTTCGTCACACCGGCTGTACCTGGGAGCACATCCGTGGGCAGGTGAGAAACCTGCAGGGTGGAATGCCTTCGGTGTCTCAGCTGCAGCGCCTCTGCAAAGGCTTCAGTCAGCAGCGTGGTCAGCGAGTCTACAAGTACCAGAACTGCGGTCAGAAGCCCACGAAGGCAACCAAGACCGTTGAGAAGTTCCTTGTGCAAAGATTGCTGGCTCTGCGCCTGCAGTGCACATGCACGGCTACCACGCTGCAGCGAGAGGTGACAGCAGCCAAAGGGATCACCCTCGATGTCCCACAATCCGGAAAATTCTGAACAAGAATGGCTTTCACTGGTTGCCCAAGGCACAGAAGCGAAAGTACAGCAAGCAGCGGAAGCAGGAGCGACTGGCATTTGCCAAGGCCGTGGTGCGATTGACGAAGGCAGAGCTGCGAGAGAAGCTTTCTCTCTCCATGGATGGCGTCGTCCTGGCAGTGCCGCCGAAGGATGCCACGGACAGGGCGAACTACTGCGCCTACGGTGGCGGCCACATGTGGCGCAAACGGGGGGAAGCTGGCGTGGAGAAGCTGGCGGGCGACGACCCGTACCCGCAGCAGATCCCACAGGCTCGCATCGTCCCTTTGTGGGGTGGCCTGTCTGAGGGTGGCTTCAGTGTCATCACCTTCCACAAGGCACGAAAGCTCACATCCGCGGAGTGGTGCGGCCTGGTCCACAAGGGCAAGTTGACCGCAGCCATTCGCGCACTGGAGCCGTGCAAACCGGATGGCCCGTGGAAGGTTCTGTGTGACAATGAGTCCTTCTTGCACACGGCTGCGAGCAAGCGTGCGATGGCAGACGAGGGCATCGCACTGTGGCGTGTGCCGGCCAAGTCTCCGGACCTCAACCCTGTAGAGCAAATGTGGGCTTGGCTTCGGCGGCGTCTCCATGAGAAAGACCGGGAAGACCTCCGTCGAAAGAGGCCTGTTCCAGGCGTGACAGCCTTCAAGGCCCGAGTACGTGCCGTTCTCGCTTCCGAGAGAGCACAGACAGTCGCGGGCAACATCGCGGCTAGTTTTCGCAAGACTTGTAAAGAAGTCATTGCCAAGAAGGGGGGCATGGCACGGGGCTGAGGTCCTGAGAAGTTTCACCAGCTGCTTAGGGCGGACTCTGGCACTCAAAATTCACGCTACGGTAGGACGAAAGTTTGAATTCCTTGTTTCGTCCAAGACAGGCCCCCATTCCCCTGTAGACTCCTAGCGCACAGGACCCACCGGCCATTCCTCCGGAACATTAAAGTAGTATAATTTTAAAACGGGGTAGAAAATACTCCGCTGGCCAGGCCACGTAAATCGCACTTGTCGCTACTCCGCTACTCCGCAAGATGCTTTAAGACAAGAAAGGCCCAGTAGGTCAAAACTTTCGTCCTCCCGATGTATAGGGGCCTTAATAATTAGAACAGGGGTTCCTATAAAGGAGTCTATAAGGGTTACTAGAAGGGATCTACAAGGGTACGGTAGTATAGAGGCCTTAATAACTAGAATAGGGTTTTGGCGCCCATTATACTATTCCTATGAAAAGGAACCCCCAGAATAATGTTAGTAAATATATAGGCCCCTATGGTACTGCATGGTCGCCGGAGGATCAGTTTTCTTCATAGCAAGACGGTTTAGGGGTTTAGGATTTAGGGTTTAGGGTTTAGGGTACATACTTCCAAAGACAGCCCAGAATCACTGAATTGGCGGCTGTCGCAGCAACGCCGCTGGTGTACAGAAGCCAAATTGGAATGTCCTGCTTCATGTTGCATCAGGTACTCACTCCGAACCATGGGAACTGGTATCAGGCAGGACTGCATGGAGATGGTTCAAATGCAAGGCTCGCTTCGTGCACAAAGGCTAAGACATGCAAAATTGCTCATCATGGTTCAGCATGGTCCAATTACCCAAAGGTAGTGAATCCCAGAGATGGGAGCAGACAAAACATAAACCCAAAACCTAGATGTCTGCAGTTTCCAATACAGACCGTCTGTCACAGTGTCACGTAAGAAAACAAGTGGTCCTTGCCGTTGTTGCTGTAAGCATCCTTAGAATTTAAAATGGGATCTCCTCAAAAAAAGCCAAGTCGACAGGTTCGAAGTGTCACTGTCGAGCAAAAAGACAGACATGCTTTTGAGCTGCGGGTTGGAGGTTTGAGGAAGCTTCATCTGGCGATGTTGGGAAACGGGGTTCATGCGGATCTGATAGGAGTGTGACGACTTCAGCCTGATACTAATCGCGAGATGAAACGAAACACCGAGCCATGACCCTAAACCCTAAACCCCTAAACCCACGAAGAAGCCCTAAATCGAGCAACCAAGCATCGATGCCGAAGCAAAGTAGAAGGAGCAATGCAAGAAGCCCACAGCAGCGAGAGTCGATCGCCATTGCCGGGCCCAATCCGTGCTGCAAAATCAAAGGTCAGGGGTAAGATAGGGGCTTTAAGAATTACCTATATTATTTTGGGGATTCCTTTAAAGGGTTCCCTAAGGGGATCCATAGTGAGGTTCTATTAGGGTCTTAAGATTTGAATAGGGTATTGTGGGGGTCCCTTACTATAAGTATAGTTTATGCAGCTTGGGGTTCAAACTGATAGGCTAGACGTGAATAACCAACCTTTCAGGCTTCGTGAGTTTCAAGCAGCAAGCGCCATGAAAGGAATAAACGTATTTACTAGCACAGTTGGCGTGCAAAGGAAGCTTGAAGGAAAGTTTAGACGAGGAGAATTGATAAGTAGAATCAGGTTCCTTTAGAAGGTTCTACACTGATAGAGTTCCATAATATAGGGGCCTTAATAATTGAAATCGGGTTCCTTGAAAGGTCGCGGGGCAAGAGTCATGCCTCAGAGTGGCTGCAGCGTAGAAGCGCTTACAAGTTGCTCAAGAGTACAATCAATCAATTAGCACGACCGCAATGCTAGGCTTGATTTACAGCCCAGCTTCCAAGCGAGGAAACAAACGCAAATACCGTTCAGATACAACTTCAACCCAATGAGGGAAATTTCAGGATCACCCCGGCAAAAGACGTCACGACATAGTGCAAATCCTTCCGCACGTTGAAACGGGACTGAAAGGACTTAATCTACATGACAAGCAACAAGCAGTCAAAGCGCAATGACTCAGCAAGTGCGCACACTCAAGCCATGGTCTTGTTCTACACCATGGGCGGACGGACCACCCTCCAAGGCTCGGCTTATGGACAAGGACTGGAGAGGCGGGGGTTTCAAAATATTTTGGACTGTGAGAACAAGGGGCTTTGAGGTGGTCTGTTGCAACCTATCTTGTAGGTGCAAGTCTTACACGTGAGGAGACCTCCACACCACCAGCCCACACGGTGCCTCACTTCATTTTGACCGCGAGCAAAGGCGAAACCCTTTCCAGGGCAAGCAGTTCAGTCCAGAATTTGGCGAGCTCATTTCGTCGCCGAGGACCGGTGAAACCGGTTTGAAGGCAAACAAACAGTTCTGACCCGACATGTGGACCAAACCTCGAGCCGCTTGCTTCCCTACTTGGCTGCAACCTCGGAATCACAGAGGAGAGGAAGGATTGTGTGACTGTGCTCCAATATGTTCATCACGGTTGCGAAGGCTAGTTATTCTGTCCTGCATGCTTTGCGCTAGATGAAACTCTCACAGGACCTGCCATGTCCAGCAGCGGCATGTCGGCGCACGTCTTTGGGTGCGGAGCAAAAATGAAACCCTTTTCTTTGAAAGGCAAGCAAAGAGCTCTGACCCATCCTACAGACAACCTAGCCGATAGCTCAACCACGTTATCGCCTGTTCCCCCAATCTCTCCCTGATTGCTACATTCGCAGGAAATCTGGGGAGCCTGGGGCCATGGCGAAGGGAGCCCTCCTGGCTAGATCCGCTCACCCACCGAAAAACAATTTCCCGGCAATGGCTGCGAGGGAAGCTGCAAAGTAAGCCAGAATTGACTTCTGAAGGACCGGGTTCAGAGGCATGTAGAGAAGCTTCGTCTGGTAGTCGCCTGTAACTGTCAGGTTTAGGGTTTTAGGGTTTAGGGTTCCAGGGTTTAGGATTTAGGGCTTAGGGTTTAGGGGGGAGGCCAAGGCCTAAGGTCTCTATGCCGGCGGGCCTCCGGACGAGAGCCGCTTGACCATGAGGTCCACAAACTTTCGGAAGTATTCGCCATCCGGGCTCACGTTTTGGATGAAGGAGGTCTGGACACGAGGCACAAGAACATCAAGCTGATGTACCAGCAAGCTGTCATCGGGGCAACGAGAAAGAAATCTCCAAAGAGTTCTCCATGCGCATGCATCAACAAGGTTGTGCTACAGGTGTGGCGAGAAAGTCAGCTTGCAAAGAAAAGGCATGAATCAGCACAGGCCGCTTATGACTTAATACATCTGCCCGCCTCCTCTTTCATCGCAGACAGCGTCTTGAGGTGTGACTGCTGGGCATGGTGACAGCCAATGGCAGCATTGATGCAAAGCATCGTGGAAAGGGCAAATACGAGGACGATGTAGACTGCACCTATGTTCGGAGGTTTGCTCCACACGACATACTGAACCACTGCATCAGTGATGAAGAGCATGCAGACCACTAAGGTGAAGATGACGACGTTCTCGAAGCGATCCAAGATGAGGCGCACGTCGTTGTGAAGGATGGAAGCCTGGGTTATTCTTAGGGGCTTTAATTGAAATAACCATACTGGGTATCTACAGTAAACCATGTGGTTTCTGTAGAATGGTACATTACATTCAGTCCCTTAACAAGAGCCCAACAACCCCAAGCCCTAAATACTAAACCCCAAATCCCTAAACCCCTTTGTAGAACCCTTATAGATCCCTTAATAAGAGCCCAGGAGCCCTTGCCATCTTCCAAGCTTGGAGCTGCCAGGTTGAGATTTTCTGGCTTTGGCACCATCGCAGGAGTATCACTTGCAAGATCTGCATGGGATGCTGGGCCTGCCTCAAGCCTTCCACAGTCTTGAACATCGTAATTCCGAAAAGGCCGCCCAAGATGCAGAAAATGATGGCTTTGATGACCAGGCAAACCCACACCAAACTGGTGCTTGGTATTCCATGGAGCGCCGGGGACAGAGTCATCCGGGTCATTGTTATGACCTTGTCGGCCGAGCACCATGGGCTCGAGGCGGTGACAGAGCTCGTCACCTGGCACCGTGTCTCCCACATGTCCTTCTTGCTTACCCAGAAATAAGCAAAGGTGAAAGAATCGCCCTGTGGCACCATGAAGCTTAGCAGAAGAAAGCCTGTGAGCCCAAACATTGCCCCAAGAACCATGTGCGCTCGAAGCCATCCGCAGCAACCTCCTTCCGTGGCGCTTCTTCCAGGAGGTCTGCCCTTGAAGGACTGAACGACCGGACAAAACCAGTACAAGCGGAACAGGTTCACTTCTGAGGCTTCGTGTCCAAGGAGTCCATGGCGTTCTAAGGATAGCATTTCTGTAGTCTTGACTTGCTCAAGCGCGTTCTTGTCAAACTCTGGACTGCACGGGCCCTCTGATTCGATCTCTTGCAACCTCTGGTCGAAGTCATCAATCATGTTCAAGGCCACCGCCTCGTCCGTCTCCGTCTCCGCTTCATCGTAGCCCATGAGGAAGCGGAAAGCATCGCAAGCAAACAGCATGACATTGGCAAGCCCAGAATTGCTGCGTTTCGTGTCCTCCCGAGTTACATGCATCTGGTGTCGAACCAGCGCCTTCAACTTAACTGCAGCAGCCGTCAGCTGGTCCATCTCGATGCTGTCACAGTCAACCCATTTGTCGAGGATATCTTGTTCTGAACGCATCGAAGCACTCCTTGGGCAGGCAGCTGCAAGCACCGCACCCCGATCAAACCGTATGTATCATCGCACACTGACATTCTGTGAAGACTGCGCTGGGGGCCTTGGCTCGGGTTTTGGATTAGGACATGGGGATGTCCACACAGACAGGGGGCAGTCGCACAAAGCCCCCGAGCTTGTCTGAGAAACGGTACCTGTTGCCGCTGTCCTTCACGAGCTTTCCATTAACCAGGGCCAGAGCAGCCGACGGTGGAATCACAAAATGTGCAAACTAGGAGAAAGCGTTCCGCACCTGCGGTAGTGGGTTTAGGGTCTAGAGTCTAGGGTTCAGAGTTTGGGGTTTGGGGTTTAGAGCTTAGGGTTTAGAGTTTAGTGCAAGCTGGGAGAAAGCGTTCCGCACCTGCTCACGTGAAGAAGCTTCGGAAGCCTCCACCATTTCCTGGGCTCTTGTTAAGGGATTCAATTTACGTTACCATCATAGGGATCTATAGTAGATAATATTGCTTGTATATCATGGTAAAACTAGGTCCTCAACAAGAACCCCCCGAAACCCTAAACCCTAAACCTCAAACCCTAAGGTAAACCAAATCCCTCAACAAGAGCCCCCCCTAAACCTTAAACCCTAAGGTAACTTCAAATAAGTCCCTTAACAAGAGCCCCCCCCTAAACCCGAAACCCTAAACCTTAAACCGTAAGGTAACTTAAACTAAACCCCTTAACGTAAACCCCAAAAACCCTAAACCCTAAACTTGAACACCCTAAACTACAACATAAATCCCTTAACACAAGCCCAGAGTCCAGCTGCTTGGTAAACGCCTCCCAAAGTCGCTGCTCCGAAGGGTTCCGGCGAAAGCCACACTCCTCTCGCTGAAATCGTGGGATTCTGGGCTTACGGGTTGGTTTAGGGTTTAAGCTTTAGGGTTTAGGGTTTGGGGTTTGGGGTTTGGGGTTTAGGGGTTTAGGGGTTTAGGGTTTGCTTTTTCTGAGGTGTAGTGGCCTCTCTCTCCGCCCACCCCAGTCGAGGAATACACTCCCTGAATTCTGCATACGATCTTGCAGGTTCAAAAGTATGCAAATCAGTGTTTACGGTTTCAGGTTTGGGGTTTAGGGTTTGCAAGTTTCAAAGTATAGTGCCCTTTCTCTCCGCCCACCTCAGTCGAGGAATACACTCCCTGAAAATGCATAGACGATCACAGGCATGCAAATCAGGGTTTAAAGGGAACTCCAGAAAGTTGGAATATGGTTTCAGGGTAGGATACCCTATAATTTACCATAGAAGGGTTAGGATAATCAAATTCCAACTTTCTGGCTTTTACCTTAGGGTTTAGGGGTTGAGGAAGGTGACTTGGATTCGGGGCGACTTGGTGGGCTTGTATTTTGGCTGTGGGCTGCTGGGTGCTAGTTGTCTCGGATCGGTTCATGTCTGCATGCATGAGATGTGCTCTTTGCTGCAGGGCTTTAAGATGTGCTGCTGTCCTGTTGGCTGACATCGGCCAGCGGATGAAAGCCCACGAAACACTGAACCCTAAGCCCCGAACCCAAGAAACTGCAAGGTCCTCGGGCTCCCCGAGCTCCATTTCCGACGGCAGCACTCTTGGCAGCGACACGAAGCCAATCGACTGGGTGAGTATGGGTTAAAGGTTTAGGGTTTAGGGATCCGTACCGGCACAATGGTACTCATATAGAAGGCTCAATTCAAGGCATGTCTTTATGCTTCCTTCTTATCTGGTGTTGTTTCGGGATGTGGCAGAGAACTTCGGGACTTTCCAAATCCCCAGCACTCTGCCATGTTTTTCACACAAAGGGGCTATCATGCTATCATGCCTCCAGGGGGCGCTCTGAGGCCAAACGTAGACTCCTTCCTCCTCGCTCAGTTTGCTATCGATGAGCTCACAAACGGAAAGCAAAGGCATGGGCACGGTCTGCTGCGCGAAGCGGTACAAGGCACGCCTGACTTCTTCAGCTGGCGACGCGCTCTGGATGGAGTCAACAGTGAAAAGGTGGCAAGCAAACTTCTCCCAGACTGCTTGACGCTTCCGGGCTGCAAGCTTCCGCCCCCGTGCCTTCCGCAACCTGATGAGTTATATGGGAGTTTTCGAGGATCAGGGACCCTCATATAGTACAACCCTCTACCCTAAATAGTAGGATCCTTGTTATAAGGACCCCTAATTTTCGGAAACTCCCATATAAAACACAGGGAGTAAGGCCTAGTTCACGAAAGAGCTCTGCACGGTCAGACTAAGGCTTCGCGTCGGGCTTCTCCCTTGCTTGCAGCCAAAAGGCTCTTTTGCACCAATGATTCCTTGATCCATGAGGGCCCCGAAGAAGACCATGAAGTAAATCACGAGGAAGACCGGCCAACCTTGCTCCAAAAACGGCCCCTGGTGGCAGACGTCAGCCAAGCTGGACCAATCTCCATAGCCGATGCAGCCATTGTTGATTCCGCCCTCTTCCAGAAGTGATGCCCAGCGCACCAACACCGAGTGGACAGCACACAAAGTGAACACAACGAAAAGCACGATCAAATGTCGATCTGAGTAGCCGGCTCTAGAACAATCCAGAAACAGAGCCACCGCTGAGGCTCGGTGGCCTTTTACCCCACCTCTCTTTGCATAGTAGCTGTCGTGATCAACGCTCCTACCGCGCCACCAGCAGAAGATGATCGTCAAGCAAAATGTCCCGTACCAAAGTGGCACGTAGTGTACTGGACTGAATCCGCAAACAACGGGGCACACTGTGTCCTGCGTGAATAACGCACAGCTTATCCGAGTCCCGTTGGCATCCAAGATGTCAGGGGTTGTTTCGCTGCGCTGCAGAGTACCGGGGAGTCTGTGGCAAAGGACATCAAGATGCAAGGTAGAAACAGGAAAGGCTTCCAATTGCGTTTAGACCTGAACCTCAGGGAAACAAGCTCATCTCCAGGCAGTTCATGGTTCTCGAACCGAGCCCATCCATCCCTTGCCAGTGGCGGTGGCCAAGTCCAGGTCCATTTATTCCCCGCAAGCACTGTAGGCATTGTATGTGGTGTGGAGACTTTGGGTGGGCGCCTGGGCACTTCCTCTCCAAGCTCCACCACCTGCTTAACAGTCTCTTTCGCAGGAATTGCGACGCTGCCTGGGCAAGGCTAGAAGTTGCAAGCAAGCTCTTTGCTTCAACTGCAATTAGAGAAAGTTGGGGGGAAGGATATGGGCCGGCTAGGATAACGAATCCCGACACTAGCTTCTGGAGTCATGTCGTCAAGATAAAACCATCCGACATCGACATAGATTTAGCTGCATCTCGTCTTGCATGGTTCTGCCAAGTTCTGCTACAAAGCGCACGTGGGCAAATTGCAGGCCCTGGGCCCTTAAGCCTGAATCCGAACACACCCGCACTTCCCAGCCCTGGGGCATGCTAAAAACTCGGATCTATAGGCCGGGTACCGAAATGCTCGTCGAGTCGGTGAAGTACGTGGGCGACCCATTGAGAGCGAGGTAGGTCGCCTTTCTCAAGACTTGACAACATTGAGCTGTAGCACGTTAGCCTGGATTCGTCAATGAAGCCAACACTACTCTTGGCTATTGCCAAGTCACCGACAGCATCTGCAGTGGCATCTGAATCTGGGCCGGTAGGGTGATGCGATGCTTTTGGCGTGGCCATGGTCAGAAACGAAAGGCCGCAAGCCCAACTGTCCCAGCTACAGCCCACAGCCCCACAACCTCAGAGAGTGCGTCATGCGCTGCGAGCTCAGTTACAGGCCTTCGATTATGACACAGCTCCCTTCACGGCGCAAGTTGCCAATCACACAACCTATAGCCGCACAGCCGAGGAAAAATATCGCTGTCCGAGCTGTACTAGAATATGCTGCTTCAGTTAGCGCATACGTAAACGGCAAGTGGCACGTTTTGTCTATCGGGATGATCGGAAGGCTGCGAAGCCCGGGCACCTCCTGTACGGACGCGGATACTGCCACTTTAGCTGGGAGCAACACACGTAGCACGCTAGCATGTTGCGACGACATGGATGTGGCAAATCCGCACACTGGCACATTGCCACGAAGTCTTTGCGAAGTCTTTGCGCCAAAATTCTGGCACGTCACGGAATGAGCATCGGCGGAAGCGCGGACGAGCGTCCGGGCCACGAGAGCACCTCCGACTCCATTCTGCGCCGTGGTGCGGTCAAGAAGCTGGTGACGTTCAACACTATTTCGAAAAGCGTGTAGTTCAACAGATATATACCAAAATCCACTCAATTCCAAATCAATCTATACCCGCATGTTTGGGTGAAGCAAATATGGACAACTCACACTCGCACACATCCGTTTTCTCACAACTGCAAAGGGGGTCTTCAAGTGCATGCGAGTCCACAGCCCAACGAGCGTTTTGGGATCCTCGGCATCGAGGATCAGCGCATCACCTGCCCCCCCCCCCAACTACAAGCAGGTACAAGGCAGAACACCGGTAACAGAGAGTTCTCAGTGAAACCAAACTTCGGATGCACGCGACTCAACATGAAACTGTCACTCTTCTCAGAAACAAATTCTCCCAAAGAAGTACCGGGAGATGGATTTTTACACAAAGGTACCAAACTCCCGCAGGAGCGATGGTTGATCAAAAGGAGTGATGGTTGAACGAGGGGGGGCAAGCCATCACCATTTTTTTGAAAGGAAGAAAGTTCTATCCGACAGGTCGGACGCATCCTTCTTCTTCTCACAAAGGTTCGGTCTGACACAGCAAGTGCTCTCGAAAGAACCGCCTGCCGACTGAATCTCCGCACGAAGGTCGGGAGTCTAAGAGATTACACCAGCATAGACCCCAAACAGAATGCATCGAATCATGCAGGTTCAAATTGGAATGCGTTGGAACCCAATCTGGCTTCGCAAGCAGACGCTGCGAAACAAATGTTTAAACATATGGACTATATTGGGGCAAAAGAAGAATGGGTAGTGATGACATCCGCACGAGAAGGAAGCGTTCTTTTTGTGGACAAAAAGAACACCGTGACCAAAAAGTTTTGTTTGTGGGGGCATTCATAGTTGCACCGAATATGCTCCTTTTTGCAGGTTCAAGTTGGAACGTGTTGGAACCCAATCTGGCTTCGCAAGCAGACGCTGCGAAACAAATGTTTAGACATATGGATTTTTTTGTGCAACAGAAGAATGGGTAGTGATGACATTCGCACGAGAAGGAAGCGTTCTTTTATTTGAAAAAAGAACGCCGTGACCAAAAGGTCTTTTCTGCCCGCTTGAGCAGTAAATGCCACATCACGTGCACTCAGAAAAACATGTTTCTCCCCAAACAAACTCGCCTATGTCTGTTTTCCATACTCGAGAGAAAACACTAACTCGTTCCTCGTACGTAAGCTTATCTCTCGAAGGACCGGCAAAAAAATTCGATCCAAAAGACAAGCAGCAAATAAAAGCTTCGCACATATTCAATCACTCCAATCATGAATTTTTCAATCGCACAAATCACTCGCTCCACCCTGCTTTCCACGTGGGGAAATCAGATCTCAGATTCTCGTTTGCCGAGCTAAGTGCATGGTGACGATCACTGGAAGCGGAGAGGGACTTCCCCGTCTGATAAAGACTTGACGCTTACAATGGATTGAATTGCCTTCGGAAGCCCTGGTAAGGATTCATTCCGCCTTGGAATTTCGAATGGCGGCTCTTTCGTCAACACGATTCGTCGAATCGGTGACGTCGCTAAGATCACCACCAGTATCTTTGTTTTTAGAAGCTGCGGCGGTCTCTGGTCACGGTCACGAGAGTCTGGACAAGAGCAGTCAACTGGGCAACTTGGTTCTGCTTTGCTGCACCGTACAATAGAAATGAGTCGACTGTAGCCTGTGCCTGCACTGGCCACATTCTTCCAAACTTAGGTACAATCGGTGGGGGTGGCAACACGCTTCCAAGAGGGTTGCTGGGCTGGTCTGCCACGGTCTTCCATTTCCACGCGCTCTAAGCAGTCACACGTCTTATTCACCACGCTCTGCGACCACGCTGAAAAACCAAGACTTACAGCCTTCAGGTTTCAATTCACACTTTTAGCAGGGAAGAAAAACATGCGAAATTTAGCAAATGTCAAGCACTGCTCGACTATGTTCTACAACCAACCATTGGTCTTCTATACTTGCATCCAACAGAGATGTGGACAGCTTGGTTGACGTGCCGTGCCATGGTTGGATCGGATGAACTGTCTTAATGCCATTCGCTGAATCGAGAATGTGCGCGATGCAGTTGTGGTTTTCAACCACTTTTCTTGGTGATGCATTCTGAGACGAACAGCTGAACCTGGAGTGCTGGATGCTGGAACTTTTCCACTGAGCCATCGATCTTACCACAATTTTGAGCTTGACAGCAAGTTTGTCTCAGCCCAGAGCGGCCCGTTGGAAGACGTACCAAGTGTGCATGCAAGTTGCATCAATCAACTTGCGGTTCTCAACGGCCACGCAAGCAAACTCCGAAATGGGTGAAGATTTCGACACCGTAGTTGAGCATGTTGGAGAACCCTCAAATTTGAGCACTAAGATTGACATCAAAGAAGATGTCGCATAGCCAGATGTTGAGATTGTTGGCTGCTGAACAAATCAAGAAGTTTTCATGGATGCAAAGATGTTTGTGGCATAGTCTTTTGTGCAGATCAAGCAGTAGAGAAAAGTTGCTCGTTCGTGTGAGAGTGCAGCTGAACAACTTGGTCGACCAGAGTGACTGGGAGCAATTTCGTGAACGCTTGTGTTTGTGAACTCCAAGAGCTTGCTCGTGAAGGTTTCGATTTTCATCGATCAGCGCAGAGTGCTGCTGAGAGGTCCACAGAACAACTTGAGCTTGCACGTGGCACTTCCATCTGCAGGAATTGAACTAATGGGAATGGGAATTGGTTCGGAACAGCGTTTTCCGACGGGCTTGCGAAGCAAGCAAATGAATCGCAGCAACTTGAATCTCGGGCACCGCATTACCACCAGTGGGCTGCTTGGAACCAGATTTTAAAACTTTTAAAAATATTTAAAATGTTTTTGTATTTTAAAATTTTTGAAAGTCTTCATTTTTTGTATTTTAAAGTTTCTAAAAGTCTGCATTTTATTTTAAAGGTTTTAAAAATCTTTAAATTTTTTTTGTATCTTAAAGTTTTTCAAAGTCTTGAAAAGCCAACTCTGTCGAAAAAGCCCTGTGGATCTAAACCTTGTGGTTCTGGTTCGGTGCAAATTGGCAATGAAATCTCCTGTTCGGATTTGCAGCACCTGTCCAGCCGCTTTCGCAACTGTGACAGATTCCGGATGTCCCTTGTTGGTTCTCATCTTTAGTGAGAATACAGGCACTCTGCGTTTTCAATAGGATGCGTGTCTCATCAACAGAGCGACTTAGCAAGAGTAGGATCATCGCGGCACGACTCTGCAAGGTTTTCGCAAGGCAGATCCAGCGACAGGGAGACTTTTGATCCGGCAGACAGCACACGGCGAAAGATATTCAACCCTCCACTTGCTTTGATGCAGGCAAGCTGCCGGTAGGTAGGATGCCGAGAACATGGAGGGAAGAAGAACTTCGAGCTCTCGACTTTAAGACCGATTGTTTCGACGTGCAGCGATTGGTTCGAATGAAAGTTCTTAGCACGTTGACGAAGGGGAAGATAAGAGATGTCGCTTAGTAGCACGTGAATATCGCTGGTTGGAACGCGATAGAGAGGGTCTTTACAGCCCAGCCACGACATCGGCGATTGCAAGAATGTTGCTTTGGCTGTTCAACAACTCCGACGACCAAGCCGAACAGGAGGACTCTTTTGCTTGATTGCACTGGACATTAAGGATGCATACCTTTGCATCCCACAGGAGCAATTTTTCTTGGCGTTTGCAGGCCTCGGTGGCTGCTGCAGTGCTAGGCAACATCCATCGAACACACGAAAACAGCGGTGAAACGTTGGCCAAACAAAAAAGGAGGTCACATACCAGCTGTGGCGTGCGGACTTTGTCAGCATGGACCGTGCAGTTTGGAAAAAGGGCCTCTTTCTCAGCGATTTCGAGCCAAAGCGACAGAGGTCCAAGACAACGAGTGGAGCTCAAGAAAGCTCTGGCAGCCGTTCTAGTCGGACGGACAACGGAAAACTCCGTGCTTTTTTTTGTGTGAGCGAGCCTCGTCGGCTGCCACTGTACTGGTTCTCGGTTCCCACAAACAAACAGACACGAACAGCAACAAAAACAGTGGTGAAACACAGAGGAAAACTGGTGTCTGCTGCACACAGACTTAGCTGTCAGTTGAACAACAGGGCAACCACAGCCTCTTCAAGCTGTCCAAACAGTACAAAGCAACAGTGGAGCTTCACTCCTGTCGCAATCTCCAGCCAACCAACATGAGACGCGTCACAGCGCAATCCAAGGCAGCATGTCCTCATTGATCTACTACACCAAGATTCTATTCCGCCAAGCCACTGACTTCATCGTCTATTAGAAAAACAATTTGCCTTAAGTTCTTGCTGTTGTGTCTCTGCGAGAGTTTTCAGCGCTGGGAGCAAAGCAAAGTTGGAGTCCAGGCTTGGATTTGAGGTTCTGTGGCCCGTAGACAGCAGTTGCGCTCGGTTCCAGTAAGAATTGCAACAAAGCAAAAAAGAACGAAAAAAGTAAACTACAGGAGGCCCGCTCAAGCGAAGCCAGAATTGCTGGACTTTTCC